TTATACAAGAGATGAATAATCGTTTCTCGGAAGTTAGCACGGAATTGCTTAGTTGCATAGCATGTCTTGATCCAAAAAGTTCTTTCTCTCAATTCAATGTGCAGAAACTACTCCGTCTTGCTGATTTATATCCTGAAGACTTCTCAAGTAACGATTATTTATATCTTGAGTCTCAACTTCGAAATTATATTTATAATGTGTAACGCGATCCTCAATTTTCAGAAGTTGGAGATTTGGGAAGTCTTACTCAACAAATGGTTAAAACTGGTAAAAATACAGTTTTTCCATTGGTTTATCGTCTGATCCAGTTGGCATTAGTTCTACCAGTTGCGACTGCTTCTGTTGAAAGAGTATTTTCTGCAATAACTATTGTCAAGACTGATTTGCGCAACAAAATGGGAGACGAGTGGATGAATGACTGTCTGGTTGTATACATCGAGAAGGATATTTTTGCAACAATTGAAAATGAGCAAATATTGCAGCGTTTTCAACGGATGAAGACTCGCAGAATGCAATTGCCTCCTCTTCGTTATTCGAGTGCAACAACTACCAATACTTCAAGTGTTAATCAATAACAAATTTTTGGGTATGTATAATTATATGTTTTTATTATTTTTATAATTATTGATTCTAAATTTTACTTATTAAATATATTTATTTCGTCACAAAAAAAATTTTTTAATACACTTCAGCCCCCCCAAAAATAAATTTCTGGCTCCGTCCCTGTCTGCAAGGTTCGGGAGCCGCAGTCCACCAGGCCCATCCAATGGGGAGGCGGCGGCCACGCACGAACTGGCGCCCATTGTGCCCGAACTGGTCTGTCCGAACTGACAGGTGACTATGTTCTAACTAACACGTGGCTCCGGTGGATTGGCCCCACTACAACTACATTTTTGGAAGTTTCATGTTGATCACAGTAGTAAGAGAATCAAACACAAGCCAACAAAGTTAGCTTCAATTTCTTCTTCAAAATCACTTTCCTTTGGAAGGCCTCCAGGCCAAGCTTTAAGTTAACTGAATTAGTGCAGTCAGAGCTAGCTTAATCCTGTATGTAGGCTCAAACTTGGTTCAGTTCAAATTTAATGAGATTCAACCAGTGTATTTAGGGCCAAGCAGGTTGAGCTCCAGTTAATTAGGCCAATCTGTCTGGCCCTATTAACAATCCTAATATTGTTAGTTGACACAAATCAACCAAAGATTATAAGCGTCAGAGGCGGTAAACCCTCTTAATGTTTGGAATTGAGACTTGCCAAACGGGCCCAAATAATTCTTGAAAGTGATGCTATTAACGTTGTTCAGAAAATGAATTCTGATGAAGTGAATTTTTCTCATTTCTGACAAGTCTATGAGTTTTATGGTCGGAAGAAGATGTAGTGAAGGGATCAGAATGATCATCGCTATCATGAACTTCCCTTTTGGAGGAATAGTTAATGATCCTCAAAAAACTCTCCTCTTCTGCCTTGTGCAAACACAAGTCCCACATCAGGTCATGAAGACGGCATGATTCAAATTTTCTGACGGTAGGCATCTCAGCTGTTTTAACCTTAACCATACCCCGTTCAGCTAATGCGCGCAAGTAACGCTCTGCCAAGTCCATCATGGATTCTTCCCCCAATCGATCCTCCATCAGTAACATGCCTTCAGCAATCCACATTTGGTACAAGGTTTCTGCCTAAATGTCAGTATCTTTCGAAAAGTAGCTCAAATATAGAAAACATGGTTTCAACTGATATGGCAAGTCATTGTAGCTCAAAGCTCGGATTTTTTGTACTTCTCCTTGATGTTGTCCAATGCTTTCACCTTTTCCTAAAATTGCTTTAATGTTATGGTGCACGGCCTTCCACTCGCCTAGAGCATGCTTGGTGGCGAGAATTCCCCCCAGAACAACCACAGCTTATAATGGCAGACCTCCACATTGTTCAACCATTTTCTTCCCTAATTGTTCCATTTGATTTATGTCCTCATGCTCTATCAGAAATAGAAAGGAATTAGTTGCTTCCATCTTACATCCATGCTATTTCAATTGTGTATTATACCATACAAATTGAGTAAACAAAGGAAAACAAAAAGAAAAATATAAGACATGTAGAATGAGTTTTGGGAATTTCAAGAAGTTGGCAGGAAGAAAATATCAGTAAAAATCTTGATTTGAGGCTTAAACATTATGTGCAAATATAGAATGTGGTATGTTGCGCATTAAAAGCTGAATCAGTAAGGATTTCCAATTTAGAGAAGGAAGAAACAGTATTACATAAGATAATGCTTCTACAGTAGTTCTCAAAATGAAAAGGACTTGGGAATGCTAGAAATGAATATCATTTCCTGAGGCATTTTTATTGAAGGATCAAATTATGATGGATAGAAGTCCTTTTTCTCACCATCATGATGTAACATTGTATCGTGGATCTCAAATTATCAGAATTCTTGCTTTGGCTTCATGATTAGTAGATTTTTCAATGGTTAACAGGAAATCCACAAACAATGATTAAAAAGTTCTATCTTAAAAACTGTAAAAATTCCGGAAAGAATACGGTGAAGACAGAACCAAGCATTTTAAGAGCGAACGGAGTTGCCATTTATTCTTTTAGCCTAAGACCATTTTAAAAGTGTGTTATGATATTAATTGGTTTTCCAAACTAATTGCTTCTTATGAAAACTTGAAACACTTCCAATTTTTGAAGCAACTTTTTTCAATGAGCTTTCAATTTTAGCAACTCTGACCATCATTCTCGAAACAGAACAAACACTATATGCACATTGCATGTAATTCAAGAGCAGTGTAATTTATTCTAAAAGCCAGTGAAATCAGACACAAGACCTGGACCAAATCCAGTTCTTATGTAGTTTACTGCTTCAATTCATTAGAATAAGTAGAGAAAATTAAGAACAATTTGAGAAAATTTCATACCTTCAATACGTCTTTCTCTTAGAGCTTTTCTCTGAAGCAACACCCAACTTTCATTCTCATTCAAAAGTCGGGGTTGATGGTGGAAGCCATTAGGACCAGTATGCAATGCCACTTCTCTATTGCGAATTGTAAGCAATATTTTGCTGCCTTTCTGTCTAGTCGGGAAGCCTTGTTTTATGCATTCCTATGCATCTGTCCCCCAAATGTCATCAAGAGCTATCAAGCATTCCTTTGTTGCTGGACGTTGTAAAGTTCCTTCACTAGCTTATCTTGTCTGCACTTCTCGATCTCTTCTCTTCTCTGAGGGACAAGTTTAATCAGCATCCTTACCAAAAGATCCTTTGTTTGCCATTGTTGGATACGCATATCCAAGCAAAGCCATCGAAATGGTGCTTTACATTTGGGTGGTTATAAACCTTGCCAGCAATAGTAGTCTTGCCCAACCCCCCCTTCCTGAAATCATGCTTAGCAATATCAGTCGATTCCAATATGACTCGGCTGAATCGTAATCGGAACGGAGGGATCGGTATCGAATTGCGGATAATACCACATCCACGGCGACTCACTCTGACTTGGATGATATTAACCAATTCGAATCCATGATGCATGGTATCGGTCGATATATTCAAGTCCACTCGGATATTTTTTAAAATTGTGCCTTTCTTGATATTTTCTAATTTTAGTAATTTTTTCAGATTTTTTGAAAATTTTTATGTTTTATAATGTCGTATCATCCGATTTTCAACCGATATGCCGCGATGGATGTGGAACAACCACGACCGCGACGCAACCACGACCTGCGACCGCGAACCATGCCTGAAATGGAATCAACTCTGTAATAGCCATGCTCATCATCTTCATTCACCAAGTGTTGCACGAGCATATCAATATCGCTCTCCAATCCAACAAAATCCTCCTCACCAATGAAGGAATATGTCTGCCTCAACTCTTGTTGCTTAGAACTTGAGCCTTCCTCCTCCATTATATCTCGGATCCCATACTCCAGCTGAATTTCTTTTGAGATTCAGGATCTTACTGTTAAGAGACTCTATTTCTGATCCAACTTGGTGATGAGATAGCAATCATTCAAGATACAAACACATCGGTTGAGGACCTTCATCAAACCTCCTCCTCTCCATAATCCAACTCTGAAAGCGTAGCTCTCAAGGAGGTCTCCTGCTTGATAAGCAATATCTTTAACTTCTGATACCCATTCTCGAATCCTCTCCTTGTCATCCTGTCTTGCATCTGCATCTCTTAAGAATCATTTCATCCACCTTAGCTCTGACTGAAGTTGCTCCGCTTGGTCCGTGACACCAACAAGGAATTTTGCTTCTTCAATTAACAAACCAGCAATTGTTTCAATGGCAAAAGAAACAACTGCCTCTGCCATTTGGGAATCAGCTTGAACAATAGACTCTTAATCAGGATAACAATCTCGAATGTTGCATGTCTTTTTTGATGTTAAAGAATGAATACTAGGACATTTGATTTATATTGTCTTGGTCTTGTCTTTACTAGATAGCTCAAGCATTATACTTGGCGTACGACCTTGAAGTACTCGATTGCAAGGTTCTTTCTGCCTTATTATCAAAAAAAAAAAAAAAGGTTCTTTCTGCCTTGTCTCGTATAACAAATCTTCCAAGAATTGAAAAAGTAGTCCAGCCCTCTTAAGTTACTTAATTTTTGAATCAAATTATATTCCTTGGTTTTAAATGATCGATCTTGGCATCTTCAATGTCCTCAAATTGGTGCCATTTCCACCCCAGCTATCTGCCTTTGGTATGGTTTCTTTCCTTCTATATAGGGTAAGGAACTTCATTTCTATCACCTTTGACCTTCCAATTGGTTGTTAGCTTTTTGTTACTTTTCTTCCTAAATGAAAAGGATAAATACATATATAGGAAAAAGAGAGAAATCTTGTGCCTCGTTAACTTGCTGTCAGGGATGGAGCCAGAAATTTATTTTTGGGGGGGCTGAAGTGTATTAAAATTTTTTTTTGTGACGAAATAAATATATTTAATAAGTAAAATTTAGAATCAATAATTATAAAAATAATAAAAACATATAATTATACATACCCAAAAATTTGTTATTGATTAACACTTGAAGTATTGGTAGTTGTTGCACTCGAATAACGAAGAGGAGGCAATTGCATTCTGCGAGTCTTCATCCGTTGAAAACGCTGCAATATTTGCTCATTTTCAATTGTTGCAAAAATATCCTTCTCGATGTATACAACCAGACAGTCATTCATCCACTCGTCTCCCATTTTGTTGCGCAAATCAGTCTTGACAATAGTTATTGCAGAAAATACTCTTTCAACAGAAGCAGTCGCAACTGGTAGAACTAATGCCAACTGGATCAGACGATAAACCAATGGAAAAACTGTATTTTTACCAGTTTTAACCATTTGTTGAGTAAGACTTCCCAAATCTCCAACTTCTGAAAATTGAGGATCGCGTTACACATTATAAATATAATTTCGAAGTTGAGACTCAAGATATAAATAATCGTTACTTGAGAAGTCTTCAGGATATAAATCAGCAAGACGGAGTAGTTTCTGCACATTGAATTGAGAGAAAGAACTTTTTGGATCAAGACATGCTATGCAACTAAGCAATTCCGTGCTAACTTCCGAGAAACGATTATTCATCTCTTGTATAATTAAATCAACAACCTGACATCACAACAATAATAAAATTAATAACTAAGAAAATCTACTAACAAGTAACAAATGTAATGAAATAATAATTTCAAAAATAATACCTCACAAAAAATTTCCACGCGATAATGATGAAAATTAGTGATGGTTTGACCTCTGCGACTGCGCCTGGCATTGCCACGGATTGCTATACTGTCTTCCATATCAATCACGGGAATCATATTCAACTCACAAAAATTGTTGACTTCATCTAAAATTATTTGCCATCCCTCTTCCCTAAAGTCTTGCAATTGAGATTTCATAGTATCAATCAAACTCATGGCTTGGACAATATTTTGATCCCTTTGTTGCAAAACAAGTGACAAGTCATTTGTGATTCCCAATAAATACTTCATCAGGTGCAATGCAAAAACAAACTCATAATCATTCATTCTATCAATCAAACCCCTGGCCATACCTCTATTGTCAGAAGTGGTGGCATCATCTTGTATATTTCCCAATATTCCAATCACCGAAGCCCACATAGAGGATAGACGAAGTAATGTTAGATAGTGTGATCCCCAACGAGTATCCCCTGGTCTTGCTAAACTAGTTTCTTGATTTTTGCCTTTTCCACTAATAATATCTCCACTGTCTAAAAGTGTAACAATCTTATCATGTTCTATTTGTCTTAATTGATCTCTCCTTTTACATGATGCTCCAGTTAAATTGACAATCATAGAGACATAGACAAAGAATTCACTGAACAATGATATTTCCCTTAGCAACAGCAACAATAACTAACTGGAGTTGGTGAGCAAAACAGTGAATATACATCGCATAGGGATTTTCTTGTAATATAAGGGCCTTCAAACCATTGAACTCACCTCGCATATTTGAAGCTCCATCATATCCTTGACCTCTCAATTTGGATAATGATAATCCGTGTTGCGCGAATAAAGAATCAATTGCATCTTTCAAACAAAGAGATGTGGTGTCAGACACATGTACAATTGCAAGGAAACGTTCAATCACACGCCCTTCTTTGTTCACATATCTCAAAACAACTCCCATTTGCTCTTTCACTGAACTGTCTCGAGACTCATCAACTATTAGGGAAAAATAATTGTCTCCAATATCATTGATTATAACACTTGTGATCTCTGAGGCACAAGCATGTGCCAGATCTTTTTGAATCATTGGAGAAATTAGTTGATTATTTGCAGGAGCATTTTGATTTACAACCTCAAAAATCTCAGTATTTCGCTGGCTATACCACTCAAACAATTCAAGTAAATTGCCTCTATTTGAAGAACTAGTTGACTCATCATTTCCACGAAAAGCCAATCCTTGCTTCAAAAGAAAGCGGGTCACATCCAGAGCAGCAGTTAAACGGGTGCGATATGCAATATCTATTTCGCGCCCACAAGATCGTAGCACATTTGACACACTATGCCTTTGATCTTGAAAACTTTCAAACTGTATTCTAGCATCATTATGGCAACTATTCACAGCTCCAATATGTTCATTAAATCTTTCCATTGCCTTTTTCCAATTATTGAATCCCGTTTTTGTAAAGGCATCCTCTGCATATCGACCTCCCTTATTTTGTGTTTTGAAAAGAAAGCACCAAAAGCAAAACGCCGCATCTTTCGATATGCTATACTCTAACCATACAAACTTTTGATACCAACTATCTTGGAAACTTCTATGTTGTTTACCAAATGATGTTTTTGGATACATATGGCCAATCGGTTGGCAAGGTCCCCTAGTCAAATACTCTCTTCGGACATGGTCTCGAAGAGAAATATCAAATTTCTCAACTGATTTTCGTAATCCCGGATCACTAACAATATCATTTAAATTCAATTCCACACAAGATTGATTTTGAACTGGTTCACTAATATTAGGCTCATTTGAAGATTCACCACTACGGACTCGTTTAGGTTTAAAGAATCTCTCCATTTTCTGTCACAATTAAATAATTGTGGTTAAATTCAATAAAATTATGCAATTCAATAATCAATTAATTTAAAATTCATATAAATAATTCTTTAATTTAATAATAAATTCATATTACTTATATTTCTCAATTTATAAAATTCATTATATAAAATTATCAAAAAGTTAAAATAAGGTACAACTAAATACCCATATAATCTCTAATTCAATCTCATAAAATTTTGAATTTATATTTACATTCAAAATTTCTAATTCACATAATTAATTCTTAAAATTTCAAATATAAAACTAACAAAATTTTAAAAACTAAATACAACCTAAAATCTATACAATTTCTAAACTAATTTCTAATTTAAATTTAATATCATTAAATTTTTTAATGTAATCTTTCAAATTCTTAAATTACATTAACATAAACTAAATAAAAATTAATCTTAATCAAATTAATATCAAGATACTCAAAATTCAAAAATAATTTAAACATATAATTAACAAAAATATAAAGATGAATATTGTAATTTAAACCAAAAAACTAACCTAAAAGATTTATGTGAATGGAATGGTGGAGAGTTGGAGTCTTGGAGCCTTGAATTGAAGGCTTGAAGCAGGATGGTAGAATCTCAACTGAAGCTTCTTGGAGTTCTTGGAGCCTGGCGTCTTCTTCTTGGAGTTGGAGTCTTGTTTGCCCTTTGGCACTGGCGGCGTGCTTTTGCATCAGATGAAGCCTTAGGGCTTCATCTGATGTATTTTTTTTTCCCCTCATTATACAAAACTGTTGACCTTGGTCGATCAATCCTTGGTTTTGATGATTAACAAACCAAAATGTAGATTTGGGCTAATGTTTTTATGTGAGCAATTTGTTAGAACAGATTCTTGTGGCACAAAAGAAGAAGCAAAAACAGGGCACTCATGTGGGACGTCCGAAAGGAAGCTATCGGACGTCCGAAAGGATGAAGAACATCAAGAAGGAAACTCTGTCGGACGCTCGTGAGGAAGCATCGGACGTCCGGAAGGATCGGACGCACGCATCGGACGCACATCGATCGCATCGGACGTCCGAGAAATTTCGCAAAGATTTGATGACTCTCTGACGACGTTCGGACGCAGGGTTCGGACGTCCGACAGGTGGTTTGGACGCAGGGTTCGGACGTCCGACAGGTGGTTCGGACGTCCGACAGGCCAACGGCTAGTTTTGACAGCATTTAATATTTGACCGTTGGAGAGCCTTTTGGAGCCATTTCTCACCTTCTATAAACACCCCAAAGCACAAGAAGACACAAGACTTTTGCCAACACAAAATACAAGCTTACAAGTGAGATTTTTGAGTAGAAAGATTCTTTGTTGGTTGTATAAGGGGTTGGGGAAGTTGGGTTGTGAGGTTGCTCAAGTGAAGGTTATTCTCTAGGAGGAGTAAAACCTTGGTGAAGGTGAACCTATCACTTGAAGTGGTAAAACCTTGGTGAAGGTTGCCTCATTTGTATAAAATAGTTCTTAATTGGGTAAGTGATCTTTCAAGTGTAGGTTGTTGAGGGTTAACTAGAATTGTTGTAAAACTCCTTGGCTCAACCAAAGTGTGTTTGGGGTGAGGAAGGAGTGAGCCTTCACTTGTACATCTTGGTTAGCATCGCCATCAATTGAAGAGGCTATTGGTTTGATATTTGGTTTGCATTTCTTATCATTTCTCTTTAATTAAGTTTTCTTTATTGTGCTTAAATTTGATATATCTTTGTGCATCATTGTGAATTTGTTTGTACTCATTGGGTTGCACCGGGCACTTACAAAAACGACGTCGTTCCACTAAAAGTGAAACGACGTCGTTTTGTATTTAGAGGGCAAAAAAAAAAATTCAAAATGAAATGGGTCATCTTCTTCCTCAGCAGTCAGCACGGCAGCGGCTTTCCAGCTCTTCTTCACTTCCTCTGCAGCATTCATGGAGCCATGGAGGATGGTAGATCTGGATCACCGTGGGGGGGGCTGGGCTGGGCTGGGCTGGCCGCCGGAATCCCCTATATATAGGGGGTTTTCCAGCGGCTTGGGAGGGCCTTAAGCCCCCACCAGCCCCCCCTTAAATCCGTGGCTGCTTGCAGAGCCAACCTACGGAGCCCTAAGAGGAATCCCTCTCTAGTAGGACTCCTAATCCTATAAGAAAACTACTACCCCGGAGCTTATAAATACATCAGCATAAGACAAAATAAGGTACGCCATCTACAGTAATCATTTTACTGTTACTTTACTCTAGCTGTCACTAACTTGACCATCGGAGTCACAACGGAGAGCTAGCCCCGCTGTTCATCCCTTTGCAGGTCAGCTCGCTCACCTCGCTTGCACACCAGTTCGCTCCTCTTCAGTTCGCTCAGCCCGTTGCTGCTCAGCTCGGATCGTGCTCTCGGCAGTCGCATCAGTAGTCATAGAAGATCATAAGATTTAACTCCAACTTTCTTAAGATACCAATCGTACGTTGGGTGATTTATAGGAAACTATATGCTATTACTTTTTCCGGACCTTCCAGTGTCTTGTCTTTTTTTCTTTTGGGGTCTAAAATTACTCTTTTCTTGTATTTTGCCCATAGATGCTAAGAGTTATTTACCTAGATTGAAGCAATTGTTATGTTTTTCGATGGTTAATTCTTTGCAAATTGTCTTTGCTCTAGCATTAGTTGTTTATCTTTACAAACATTGTTAGTAAGAAGTTGTATTATTCTTCGTGATCATGAAACTTCAATTTTTGTTGCTCTTGCACCTTACTCTAACTATTATGGAATTTTTTGGGTTGACTAATTATATATCATGTAATTACGTTCATTTTCAAAATAGTGAGTTTGGACCCGCCTGAACTAGGATTGATTCCTAAATTTTTTAATGAGTTTGAGTATGAGCTATCATATTTGTAAACCTAATAGGGACTCAAATTTGGGTTCAAAAGAATTATACCTTATGCAAGTTGATCAGTTTGAGCTTAATAGATTTCAACTTATAAAGCCTAATTGACGGGCCTAAATACAACTACTGTGGTAAAAGTGAAACAACAGCTTTGCAGGGTTTGGAATACTAAGTTAACGACCAAAGTTTTAACTCGGACTGGACCGATTAGACCTGTTGATTAAACTAGTAACCGGTCCGGTTAAGTTTCCAAGCTCGTTGGGGGACTAAAAACCATTTCATTCATGTAGAAATGGAAGAATCTGACGGTTCAATGGTCATCCCATTAAATCTTGATGGGTTCTAATGAATTGGCTGTTAAATTATCCAAATGCAATCGTGAACAAAATTTGGTCACTTCACTCCAATGAATTAAAGACCACGTTTAACTTTTCACCTTGGCAAGGAATGCTTCGTCTCCTTAACTAATATACACAAATTTAAGTACTTCATTTCACCATTTCTTTCTATCCTCTCCATTTTCTTATAAATTTCACAGACAATTATGTATTTATTCATTTCTGTCTTTACCTTCTCTAACACAATTTATATCAAATGCTATGTGGTAGTGTATTTTTTCGACAAAAATAATTCTTTTCTTTGACCTTTTCTGCAAATTTACGGAGTTTAATTTGATGAAGTTTTCATTGTTTGACGATAAAGTATAAACTTAGAAAAGATTGAGATGTATTTAAATTGATTCACATGAGCAATAATTACTCGTAATTAACTATTAACAGTTGTAGAATTTTTTTTCTATGATTTTATTGACACAACTCTAAAATATTGGGTCCGTTTGGAAGGTGTGTTTTTCGTATATTTGTATAAAATTTTACTGTAACTTATAGTAAAATTTGTAGAAAAATTTTGTGGAGAAATTAAAAAAAATTTATTTTTATTTTCCTTTTCTTTTTCTTCCATTTTTTTCTTTCATTCCTCTCCTTGTCTTCTTCTTACCATCACTACTGCTCCAACCACCATTGGTCAGCACCCCCATCTTTGCCGCCTCTTTATTCCACTTTTTGTATCTTTCTCCCTCTTCCCCTCCCACTCCTCCTCCCTCTTTCCTGTAGAACTCAAAAAATTTCACCAAAAAGTTATAGAAGATAAAATGTAATGGAACTAATATATATGGGGAGGCAATTTACACATATACAAATATATGTGTAATAATATATTAATCACACACTAAAATAACAAGACCATTAAATTTCACTCTTTTCAACTAATACAATAATAAGACTTCCTATTTATATAAGACTATATGACTCGATAAACAAGTTTTATGACCACAAGAAATTTCCTAACAAGATGTTAATTCCTAAACAATAAAACTACCATAATTTAAATCCAATAAAACTACTAAAAATTTGACTTGACTAAACCACTACTAAATAACAATATGAAAATTTCTATTTTTGAGCTTTGATTTAATATGCCAGTATTGCCTCCTTTAAATCAATCTCTTTCTTGGATCAGATCAAACAATCATGATCAATCATCTCCCTTGCAAATTCTGCCAATATCAATCTGAACTAATTCTTCATTGTCAAATACTTTTCTCGTTGCAATAATTTACACACTTGGATAGACTATTTTCGTCACACAATTTGAGGTCAATTTATTGATAACTCATCACCTTGTGATTTTCGCAATCACAAC